TCAGCACCACTTTCTCCATTTGCTAAAGATTTTGGTTGTTGTTGTTGTTGTTAAGTGCCGTCGAGTTGGTTCTGACCCATAGCGACCCTGAACAAGGTTTCCGAGGATGTAAATCTTTACGGGAGCAGAAAGCCTCATCTTTCTCTGGTAGTTTAGAACTGCTGACCTTGTGGTTCATAGCCCAATTCGTAACCACTATGCTACCAGAGCTCCTTAAAGATTTTGGTATGTTGCATTTTTGTTCTCATTTGTTTCTAAGAACTTTGTGAGTTCACGTTTAATTTTTTCTACTACCCATTCACTTTTCAGCAGGATGTTCATGAGTTTCCATGTATTCAGTTTTATTTCCTTGGTCTTCCTATTGTTGATTTCTGGTTTCACAGCATTGTGGCCTGAAAAGATGCTCTATAATATTTTGATGTTTGTAAATTTATGGAGGCTTGTTTTGTGGCCTAACACATGGCCAGTTCTGGAGAATGTTTCATGTGCACTGGAAAAGAAAGTGTATTGTGCTGTTGTTGGTTTGAATGCTCTGTATGAGGTCAAGTTGGTTGATTGTTCCTCTGTTTCTTTGTCGAGTTTCTTTCTGGTTGTTCTATCCCTTTTCGAAAGTAGTGTATTAAAATCTTCCACTATAATTTGAGATTTGTCTATTTCCTTCTTCAATTCTAGTAGGGTTTGCTTTTATGTATCTTGGTGCTCTTTCATTGAGAGTGTGGCTATTTATTATGGTACGTCATCTTGCTCAGTTGACCCTTCATCATGAAATAGTGTCCTTCTTTATGTCTTATGGTAGTTTTTGCCTTAAAGTTTATTTTGTCAGAGATTAGTAGTGCCACTCCTGCTTGTATTTGATTGCAATTAGCTTGATATATATTTTTTCCATTGTTTAAGTGTGTTTTGGACTTTGTGTGCAAGGTGTGTCTCTTGCAGGCAGCATATTAAATGGTCTTGTTTTCTTATCCATTCTGCCACTCTCTGTCTCTTCACTGGTGCATTTAATCCATTGACATTCAGTGTAATTACCAATAGGTATGAATTAATTTCTGTCATTATGTTAATTTTTTTGTGTTGCTCTTTGTTCCTTTGTTCTGCATGCCTTCTTATGCTGAGTTCATATTTT